ATGGGACAGCCGTTTGATGGCCAGCCGTCCAGACGGATGAGCGCCGACGTCGTGTTCGCCACAACCAATTCAGACATATGTTTGGGAGATGACGGCGCTGTTGGGGAAAGGGATGCAAATAATATTGTTAAAACTGTAATTTATAATAGATTTAAAAAATAATTTTAATTCAAAATGTTAAGTATTAAATTGGGTAATCGTATCGCATGTACATTTTTTGTATTTTTATAGCAAATAATACATTACTATATTTTTATGATATACTGATCATTTATTCATTTATACCTGATCCTTTAGTCTTAATAGCAATGGCATCACTCGGGTCTCCCTTTCCCATCGCATTGTACGCCACGACATAAAACTAATTGAAATATATTAGACATGTTTTAAAGGAAATTAATATTTATAATTAATTTGATTAAAAATTTATATAAAAGTATTATTTAAACTAAAACTAATTTTTAAAAATATTAAAATAATTATCGTCATAAGTTATGTCTCATAACTTTGTCCAATTTTAAGAAATTTAAATTTATAACGTATATACTTAATTATCTATGATTATTGTGACAGTTCATTTTAGATAATCTGAATAATAATTTAATCCATAATTTGAGTGCAAAACTGTATTCAATACAATACCTGATAGAGTGTACCGCAGAGTAAGTCTATCGCAGTATAGGAACTGATTTTCTGACGGATCTGTTTGTCCATCCATTGAGAGGAATGGCTTTTAGAGTATATGTAATACCCGTTGATTGTCTCAATACCTGATAGAGTGTACCGCAGAGTAAGTCTATCGCAGTATAGGAACTGATTTTCTGACGAATCTGTTTATCCATCCATTGAGAGGAATGGCTTTTAGAGTATATGTAATACCCGTTGATTGTCGTCAGCGCCACCGTTAGGTTAGGGCTTTCCAGAGGGAAACTCCACACTATCTCTATGGAGTCAAAGGTCACGTCACCCACCGATAGCTGCGGGGCTGTCGGTCTGTCCATCAGTAGTGTCTGTCCGTATGCCTCCTCCGATTGGGGTCCCGTTCCCTTCCTGTCAGGGTTTTTGCAAATTTAGTAATATTTTTAGCAAACTATAAAAATTGGCAAAATGTGTCACGATATAATATGACAAAGTTTATGTGTTATAAAAAGGGACAGATATAGGCGTCACAATAAATTTTTTCGATGCATTAAATATAATAAAATTTAACATTAATATAGATTTAAGTTATCGGTAACATTTCACTTTCAATACTGTATGAAATTGACAGTGAATTAAGCTGAATATATTTTGTTTTGGTCATATGTTTTTATATACAGTTTATTGCACTCAATATAGGCTTCACTTATCACACAATTGTGTCGTTTTTATGACATATTCTTTGAGTCTATCTATAGATAGGAGTGTTTTCTCTCACTTCAGATATTAATCTC